GCCCGTTTGGGGACGTATACGTGTCTTCTTGCACCCCATGATCACAGCGATAGAGCAGGCATGGCACGGTGGCCTCCCCAGGTGGGGGAGCCGCCAGGGAATATGACACAGGCCAGTTCGCGCCCAGATGATCGAGACCCCTCGGGCGAAACGCATGTTTGAAAGAGCAGACGCGCCTCGCCCCACAGCCTCATGATCGCCGCGACGAAGCAGGTATGACCGTTGTGCCAATGTGCTGGTGGGTCTCCCAAAAAAGAGCTGCAGGGGATATGACACGGGCCCGTTCACGCCCAGATTGCTAGGGCCTGTCATGTGACACGCCTATGTTGACAAGATGGCACATATATTTTCGTTACCCCATGGTCACAGCAATGTGGTAAGCACGCTGCAAGCTCACCCGCACCCAGACTCACACATATCCAGGCTTTCATACGCACACGTATTCAGTCGGATCAAGTCTTATCCATGCTCGTTCATACCCAGGCCCAACCCTCTTAAGTTATTCTATACAGCCGCTCATACTCAGAGCCACTCACACTCAAACTCACTCACACCCAGACTCATTAGTACCTAAACCCGCTCACGCTCAGTCCCACCCATACTCACAGTCAATAGCGCCCAGACGCTGATCAGAGTGAGGGGGGCGAACGGTCCTACACCGTCCCTGGGTGCGTGGCTGAAGGTGAGTTCTGAGGTGCGTTTTTTTGTACTTCCTCGTTGTTGTTGTTGCTGTTGTTGTTGTTGCTGTTGTTGTTGTCGTCGTCGTCGTTGTTGTTGTCGTCGCCGTCGTCGTCGTCGTCGCCGTCGTCGTCGTCGTCCCGCCCGTGACGTGCAAGCGACCAACCCGCGACCCGCCAGCGACCAGCCCGCGACCCGCCGTGACCCGCCCGCGACCCGCCCGCGACCCGCCCGCGACCCGCCCGCGACCCACCCACGACCCGCCCGCGACCCGCCCGCGACCCGCCCGCGACCCGCCCGCGACCCACCCGCGACCCACCCACCTCGCTTTCGCAAAACTGGGGCCTGCGGCGGGCTCTTTGCGTGAGCATCGCAAGCCACCGACGACGCCCCTGGCCCCCTCACTCATGTTCACAACTGCGGGGGCTAAGGTACCTAGACTCAGCCACAACCAGACTCACTCATACTCAGCCGCTCGTACTCAGACTCGCTCACGCTCAGACTGGCCCACGCTCAGACGTGCCTAAACTCAGACACTAGTAAAATAATACCCTAGAACGTATACATGAACGTATGGCCCAACTCCAGAAACCCTGAATCAAAAAAATGTGCGTCTGAGGTGGTAGATTTCTAATGATTTCTACTTCTCTGCTGGCCTTCCGTTGGCGGAGCCCTGGCTCCCCGTTTTTTTCCGCTGGCCGTCCGCCGAGGAAGGTAAGGAAACCTTTATCCTTCGAAGCCGAAACCAGTTCTGTATTACCCCATGTCCCTATGTCGGGATTCCCGCGTCGAGTAATTCCTCTGGTCTTCGAGATCTGAGAAGAAAAAGATGGACAGGCCGAACTCTGTGTCAAGGCGAGGCCAAAAACGAAACATGATCTGCTGATCCTGGCTGTTCATCCCTCGACCAGGACCTGCTCCAACCGGTCCAGGCACCCCCCTCCCTCAAAGGCCCCCTAGATGGGGTCCGAGTAGATGGGGTCGAAGGATCACGCCGCATCGACGATACATCGGCGATGCACCGGCGATGCATCGGCGACTTCGGCGATGCACTGGCGCCGTCGGCGTGGAGAACACCGGGATCCACATCGAGCCGCATCGCCGATGCATTGGCGATGCGGCTCCATCCTCCGACCCCATCCCCCCTCCGACCCTATCTAAGAGGCCTAGACCCCTGACCCGGAGTGGACCGAACGACCCTGGGTGATGCCCGGCTGCGCGCCAGCAGCTCCGAGCGGCAGCCGCTCGGCCTGCAGCGTGACGCCCGCGCGGCTCGCGATGCCCGAGCTCTCGCTGGCCAGGCGCGCCGCCGCGCCGCCGCCAGGCAGGAGCAGGCGCAGCGAGAAGCGCGTGGCCGCTCGCTTGGGCGTCGCTTGACGGGGGGGTGATATCCCGGGGGGGGGGGGGGCAGACCATCCCCCTCCCCCTTCTCCTCCTCCTCCTTCTCCTCCTCTTCCATTTCTTTTCCTTATAAAGGACTTCTCTGCTCCCTGTCGCACCCCGAGGCCAGCCAGATTTTAGGGCGGGCCGGGCGTTTCGCCTGAGATTTCCTCACCATTTATGACTCTGAAGCTTAAGAAGTGAAAACAGTTTCACAGATGGAGGGCGGGTCGTTTTCACAATGTGGCTCTCGCCTTAGCGCCGCGCACATTCGTTTTAAACACTTGCAAGAGTTTCACGGATTGAGGCGGGTGATTTTCAACATGTGGCTCTCGCCTTAGCGCCGCGCACATTCGTTTAAACAACTTGCAAGAGCTTCACGGATTGAGGGCGGGTGATTTTCAAAATGTGGCTCACGCCTTAGCGCCGCGCACATTCGTTTTAAACATCTGCAAGAATTCCATGTTCAAACTGTGGCTCTCGCCTTCGCGCCGCGCACATTCTTTTCAACAAATTGCAAGAGTTTCGCAGATTGGGGGCGGTTCCTTTTTTAAAGTGTGGCTCTCGCATTGGCGCCGCGCACATTCGTTTTAAACATTTGCAAGAGTTTCACGGATTCCACGTCCCAGACATGGTGTTTTGGAAAGATTCTGGATTATGCGGGTGCAGCACTTGTGCTGATTCGCGGTGTTGACGTCCCAACAATCGCGTCCTGGCACGATTCCACATCATCAAGGCGCAGCAATCAGGTTGATCCGTGGCGTTGAAATCCCGAGAACAATGTTTTGGCATGCTTCAGGGTCTTCAAACGGTTGTCTCCAAACGAGTTCCCTCAATGGAAATGAACCGTTGCAGGGGCCTACTATAAAAAGGGAGCTTGGAGGGAGGGTTAATTCCAACATCGTTAATGATTCTTGGGTTTACACTGGTCCTCCTCCTCCTCCTCCTCCTCCTCCTCCTCCTCCTCCTCCTCCTCCTCCTCCTCCTCCTCCTCATCCTCCTCCGCCCTCCCCCTCCGCCCTCCCTCCCTCCCTCCCTCCCTCCCTTCTGGGGGGGAGAAAGGTGCACTTCTCGGGCCCGAAAGGGCCCCTTGAGGGGCCCTCAAGGGCCCCTTTTCTGCAGCCCTCGCTGCCCCCCCATTGCGCGACGCCCAACTCCCGGAGGGCACCACGGCCCCGGCCCTGGCCCCGCGCCAGGAGCCACGGCGGCAGCGGCTGCTGCATGCCAGCCGCGCCCGAAGCCGGACCCTGGACCTGGCGCCGTGGGGGCAGCGGGTCCCTCGCGCGTCGCTGGCGGCTGGGCCGCCGCGGCCGCACCCGGGCTGCGGCCGCTCTCGGGGCCGACGCGCGTCGCTCCGGCCGCGGTGGCCCCTGCGGCAGCCGGGCTCGGCGCAGCGGTGGTGGCGTATGCCTCTTGGGGCCTCTGCCCCTGCTTGGCGGCGCACACAAGGGGGCAGGGAGAGGGGGGAAGGCGTCTTAGAAGGAGGCTGCTTCTTGGAAGGCGCGGGCCTCACATCTACAAACAGGGCCAGCCGCTTCTAAGAAGCAGGGGTGCCCCTAAGAAGCCTTCCCCCCTCCCCCTTCCCCCCTCTGCGCGTGGCCGACCTGCCCTGCCGCGGCCAGCGCCCGTAAATCAGGCAGGGCACGCTCGGCCGCCTCGGCCACCGGGGCACCTGCAGCGTCGAGGCCAGGGGACGGAGCTGCCTCTGGAGGCCTCTGCCCCTGCCCTGCCGCGGCCAGCGCCCGTACATCAGGCAGGGCTCGCTCGGCCGCCTCGGCCACCTGGGCACCCGCATCGCCGAGGCCCGTTGATGGAGGGCGGCCCGCCAGCACTCCTGGCTCTACCTCCCGATGGGGGATGCCACTGCCCGTCGCGGGCGCCTGCTCCGCCCGCGCGGCGCTGCGGCTGAGTGCGGTCTCCGGCTCCAGCGCCTCGTGCACGGCGCAGGCTGCGGCGAGCCTTTCGCGCTCACCGCCGCACAATTCCAGGATGGCCCACGCTCCGCGGCGCGCCAGGCCCAGCGAGGCTACGCCGCTGTGCGTGCTGATGTCTCCGAACGAGCTTTCCACGGTGGTGGCAAGCTCGGCCGGCAGAAGGAGCCTGGTCCACGCCGAAGCTTCTCTCATCAACGCTAGGTCATCCACGATGAGCTGCAGCACACAGAGCTCCTTAGCAAGTGGTGCTCCGAAAACTTCAACGACACATTCTGCACCTTCGCCACACATGCCGGGGTCTGCGTCACGCGTGGAGACCATGGCGAGATCGCGCAACTTGTTAATCTTGTTGCCACGCTTGCCAATCAGCCATGCGCACTCGTCCTTGGAAACCAGCATGCGAACCGCGAGTCGACTGTTTTTGCTGGATGCCCCAGCAGGTCCGGCCGACGCCTGCGACCCCTGCTGGAGGTCAAACTGCCTCGGATTCAGTATGCCGATGGCTGCGAATTCGACGAGCACCTCGTGGACGCGCGCCACAGCCTCCACAAGGGCAGCCAGCCGGCCCCCGCAGCGCACCCGCCGCTGCGCGGAGACGCCGGCGACACCGCCGGGCGCGAGCTGCACGTCGCAGCCCGCCTCCTCGCGCAGCAGCTTGATCCTGTCGCCCCGAGAGCCGACGAGATGCCTGCAGGCGACCTCGGGGATCATCACCTCGACGGTGCGGGGCCTCTCGTCGGCGGGCTCCGCCCCAGCGGCGCCGAAGGCGCGCTGCAGCGTCAGCGACAGGGCCCTCCGGAGCTGCGCCGCCCCGTCGGTCTTGATCACGGCTAGGCACTCATCGCGGGCGTGGAAGGCAGCGGGCAGGCCCTTGTCGAGAACCTGGACATTCGCGCCGCTCTCTGCACGTATGCGTCGCACAACTTCTTCGCGCTGGCCCACCACCAACTCTGCTTGCTTGCTGCTGAGAAGGAGTCGGCAGGGAACATCCACTGCTGCCGGGTTCATCGCACATTGCCACCTGGTGCTGGGCCGATCGCTGAAGCTCCCGCAGCCCGTGCGCAGAAGTGCAATGAAGCACGCGCCCCTGCAGACTCAAAGACGCATGATGGACTCGGGCAGTGGCAACGGTCACGAGTTCCGACGACGCCTGGCATCCAGAGCGGACGAGCGACACTCCTGCGACAAGAGCACCATGCACAGCTTCCCACAGCTCACGGTGGCCGGCCACGACGGGGGGCCCGGGGGGGCCACGATGGGCCACGATGGGGCCCGGGGAGGCCCGGGGGGGCCAGGATGGGCCACATCCAGAGCGGACAAGCGACACTCTGGTGGCAAGAGGGCCCTGCACAGCTTCCCACCGCCCACGGCGGCGGGTCACGACGGGGGCCCAGGGGGGGGGGCCACGGCGGGCCACCGATTTCGGGGGCCCAGGCTACCTCACAGGGCGGCAGCGATGGGGGGCCACGATAGGCCATCGATTTCAGGGGCCTGGACTCTCTCACTGGGCGCTAGAAACAATACGTATCAAACCTCAGACAAGATGTTCTGGGGAATCATAGCACTGCCAGCGTGCAGCCCACCCAATAAGCTATTGCACTGTGGCTGTGTCCGCCGCGTGGTGCAACCTACGTGGTGCAAACTATGTGGCGCAATTCATGTGGTGCAAGCTACGCGGTAAAAGCCGTGTGGTCCAAGCTTGGGGTACAGACTATGTGGTGCAAGCTATGTCGTGCATGTGCAACTATGCAGTACGAACTATGTGGTGTAAGCTGCATGGCTACATCTATGTGGTGCAAGCTATGTGGTGTAAGCTGTGGTGCAAGCTAGGTAGTGCAAACTATGTGGTGCAAGCTGTGTCGTGCAGGCGACGTGGTGCAAGCTATGTGTAACAACTATATGGTATAAACTGTGTTGGGGGACTGTGCCGATAAGGTGTAAGCTACGCGGTGCAGCTTGTGTGTTGTAAGATGTGTGGTGTAAACTAAACGACAAAACATATGTGATGCAAGCTTTGTGGAGAAACACTGTGGTGCAAACCACGTGGTGAAAGCTATGTGCTATAAGCTAAAGTCATGCAACTAACTAGTGTTCATTCGTGAAGTGTCGGCTACACTGCTGGCGCAATCATCCCACCCTCCCACCCGCAACTTATATTTGCACAACCCATGCGTCCGCGATTGCGGATATGCCTGGCGCTGGCGGGCACATCTTTGCGGCCGCGCTGGCGGGAGCAAGCTCGCGTGCAGAGCAACCAGCTGCTCTGGCACAACTGAGGCGACCGCGATGGCCCGTGCCGGTGGGACCTTCCCAGCGCGTCTCAAAGGCCGCGCTGCCGCGCGGGAGCTTCAATGCGGGTCGGTGAATCGGGCAGGCGCGATATCATGATGACGTCGACAATGGCGGCATCGATAATGATAGTAGCGATGGAAGTGACGATGATGACGATGACGACGGCGAGACCAATGATGGCGACGATGATGGTGAAGACGATGACGATGATGATGATGTCCATGTGTCAGTGGTGGAGGCGGTTGGCTGGATGACGATGGCGGAAGTGATGCGATGGCGCTGACCCAGATCAGAGTTGATGCACCGCGTGGTGAGATGCGAATGCGGCTTCTGGACGGGATCGCTGAAATCATGGAGCCCTCCCGTGGTTTCAACAAGTACCCGCGGATCAACAGTCTGAACGATTCCCCATGGCAAACCTACGGTTGATGATTACCTTATGTTGAAATGATTGCAAAAGGGGCGTGGGTGTGTTACCATGATTCCACCATGTGCCGGTGTTGAGTCCCACCAGCCCTCTGGGCGTCGGTGGTTTAGAGCGTTTCCTCTTCCACCCCTCCTTCTTCCCCTTCGGGGAGGGATTTACCCCTCCCCCTATCCCCTCCGCACTGACCTGGACAGGGGGGGCCGCGGGTAGTTAGAGCGTCCAAGATGGCCCAACACGGCTCCAAGAGGGCCTCAGGGAGCTCAAGATGACCTCCAAGATGGCTCAAGATAGCGCAAGATGCTTCAATATGGTCCCCATGATGTTCCAAGACGCTCCAAGAGCTTCCCAAAACTGTTCAAAGTACTCACAAGAGCATCACTAGGATGCCTCCAAGAGGCCAAAATGCTTCAAAACCCTAGGGAAAACCAATGTTTTTGGCGTTCTCACTTTTTCGCTTGCGATGCACATCCGAGGCGTCAAAATGGCTCTAAGATGGCTCAAGATAGCTCCAAAAGGGGCCCAAGAAAGCCCCAAGACGGCGCCAAGAGCGGCAACGAACGCTCCAAGAACACCCCAAGAGGGGTTCAGGAGGCGATTTTAAAGGCTCTACAAGGGCGACGCTAAAAAATGCTTCCGCTTTCTTTGCCAGATCCCCTCCAACATGGCTCTACCAGCGCCTCTGAGGCCTCCAAGAGCGCTTCAAGAGCGCCCCAAACGACGCCCAAGAGGCCCCCAAGAGGCTCACAAGGTCGTCAAAGATGGGCCAAGACGGCTCCCTGAGAGCCTCGGGAAGCCCAAGACACCTTCCAAGATGGCTGACGATTGCGCGACCTGCCTCAAGATGGCTCCGACGATGTTTCAAGACGTTCCAAGACTGCTCCAAAACGATTCCAACAGGCTGGCTCAAGATATCGCAACCTGCCTCAAGATGGTTCCGAAGATGTTCCAAGACGCTCCAAGACCGTCCCAGGACGATTCCAAGTGGCCATATGAGCTCTCCAGGATCCCCTTCCCCATCGCCTACCTATTATTCCTCCTCCGTCATCCCCCTCCCCCTCTTTCTCCTTTTCCACATCTTTACAATAGTTCCCATAATTCTCTTCTTCTGTTCCTTATCCACCCTCCCGCCCCCTTTCTCTTCCTCTTCCTTTTCCTTTCAATTCGTCTTCCTCCCCAGTATCCTCCTGCTGCTCGTTCTCCTCGTTCTCGCCGTTGTCGTCCTACTCGTCTTCGCCCTGCGTCATGCGATAATCCCACCAGCCCTCTGGGCGTCGGTGGTTTAGGGCGTTTCCTCTTCCACCTCTCCCTCTTCCCCTTCGGGGAGGGGTTTACCCCTCCCCCTTACCCCCTACCCACTGACCTGGACAGGAGGGGCGGGGAGCGGTCAGAGCGTCCAAAACGGCCTCGGCGAGGAAGCCAAACTCATTGATTTTACTATGGTTTTGGCCCCATTTTGGCCTTCTGAGGGGGCAGGGCTGATTAAATCTCCCCTCTTCTTTGATCGATTCCCTCCACGATGGCCGCAAGAGGCCCCCAGGATGCCCCAAGAGGCCGCAGGATGGCCCCAAGATGGCCCCAAGAGGCCCCCCAAGAGGCCCCCAGGAGGCCCCCAAGAGACCCCCCAGAGGCCCCAAGAGACCCCCCAGAGGCACCCAAGGTGCTCCCAGAAACATTTTTTACTATGGTTTGGGCCCCATTTTGGCATTCTGAGGGGGCAAAGATGGCCCCAAGAAGCGCCCAGGAGGCCCCCAAAGGCCCCAAGATGGCCCCAAGAGGCCCCAAGAGGCCCCCAGGAGGCCCCAAAGAGGATCCCGAACGGCCCACAGAGGCCCTCCCTGAGGCACCCAAGACGCCGAAAAGCCCCTCAGGACGACCCTCTACTCGCCTGGGCGTCGTTTCTGGACGGGCTGGTGGGGAAACGCGAAGCGTCTAGAATTTGTGCACATTCTCGCGACGGACACTCGAAGAACTATAAATTGGAATGGACGAGTGCGGGCGCATGGAGTGACCTGACAGGGCTGGAGGGACTGGCCAAGAGGGTTTGATCTCAACTGGAAAATGAACCATCGGGCAGCTTAAGGTGTGGTGTGAGCGAGATGTCCCAAAAGGGACTGAAACATCCAGGCTCGGGAGGGGCGATCCTATTATTCCTTTGATCGGAGAAAATCTGTGGTGCAAGCCAGGCGAAACCTCACAGCCACACAGCGCACGAGGCGCCCACGGGCGTTCACGGGTGGGCACCAAGCGAAACCTGGGCACGCCCACCAAGCGCACGAGGCGCCCACGAGGCGCCCACAGGCGGGCAACAGGCGAAACCCCGGTATACCCTCCCAAGACGCACGAGGCGCGCACGAGGCGCCTACGGGCGGGCAGAAAGCGAATCCTCGGCACACCTGTCCAGCGCACGAAACGCCCACGAGGCTCCCACGACGTGGGCACCAAGCAAAACCTCGACTGATCCATCCAATTCCTCCAGAAGAACCATTAAGATCCCTTAAATGCAACAGCTGCTTGGGGATAGAAACCATCAAGAGCTCTCTGCAAACACGGGAGAGTACGTAGTAGCAGCAGCAGCAGCAGCAGTAGTAGTAGTAGTAGCAGCAGTAATCGTAGTTGTAGAAATAATGCGAATGATAATGATGGTATTACTAGTAAAAGTAGGAATCGTAGTATTAGTGAAAGTAGTGGTAGTAGTAGTGGTATTGAAAGTAGTGGTAGTAGTAGTGGTAGTAGTAGTAGTAGTCGTAGTAGTAGTAGTAGTATTAGTAGTAGTAGTAGTAGTAGTAGTAGTAGTAGTAGTAGTAGTAGTAGTAGTGTTAGACAGCAATAATAATAGTCGTCGTCGTCATAAGAGTAGTAGTGGTAGTAGTAGTAGTAGTAGTAGTAGTAGTAGTAGTAGTAGTAGTAGTAGTAGTAATAGTACTCGTCGTAGTATTAATAGTAGTAGTAGTAGTCGTCGTATTAATCGTGGTGATACTAGAAGTCGTAGTAATACGAACAATGGTACTAGTAGCCGAAATGATTCGCAACAGTAGTAGTAGTAGTAATAGTAGTAGGAGGAGTAGTAGTAGTGTGATGATAGTAGGGGTAGTAGTAGTAGTAGTAGTAGTAGTAGTAGTAGTAGTAGTAGTAGTAGTAATAGGAGTAGTGACGGTAGCAGTAGTAGTAGCAGTAGTAGTAGTAATAGTAGTAGTAGTAGTAGTAGTAGTAGTAGTAGTAGTAGTAGTAGTAGTAGTAGTAGTAGTACTAGTAGTACTAGTACTAGTACTAGTACTAGTACTAGTACGAG